AAATTGATTTGTGATCATCTTTTGACTAAATTTGATCCCCTTGACATCTTCCTTTATCCAATTGACTCCGAGCACTCTTAAATCTTTATCGTGAGATTCGGCACAACTTTTAAATATTTACATTTTAGCCCCCGAACTTTGGATCCCTTACAATTGAGTCATTTCTCCAAATTTGTCTACTTTTGCTTATTTTCTTCAATCTCACCAACTTACATCACAATATCAAAATCACACATCTAATTATTTATTAATTATATAAACATTACATTATTAATTATTTATAGGGTGTTTGTTTATGCTTTTCAGTAGAAATCAAGTCGCTGGCAACATAATTAATGTCGTTGGGAGCCGCAATTTTGGACCAATTCTCTCACTGTAGGGCTGTAGTTTTGAAAAAAAAAAGTAACATAATCAATTTTCCTTCCTCCTTACAGCGCCCAGACACGTCCTTAATTAACAAAAAAAAATTACATCTTTATTAATAACAAATTAATTATTAAACAAAAATATTAAATATAAACTAAGCAAACTTGGATTGCACATTGCTTGCATCTAGTGGTTAAAAATGAACTCAAGGAAAATTTGAATTTAAAAAATGAGACCAAACCGAAGTCAAATAAAAAGGGCATAATAAAGAAAATAGACTATCCAATTTCTTATTGAATATAAATAAAAATAAATATCAAAAGTTACATTATAGAATTTAACCCATTGCTTGCTTACAAGTTTCATTACAACGTCAAAATTTGACTCCACTATCGGACACGTGTCAGCATTCAACGACCGACCTCGCCACGTGTCCTCACTCTTACTATATTAAAACCGCCAAACATAAACCCCACCAGCCGCCGCTGTAAACTCTTCCACAGTTACAAAATGCGCCGCCTCAAAACCTCCGTCCAGTTTCTCAAATACTTTTCCACTCAAGCCCGCCTCCAGGATGCGGGTCCCATGGCCTGCCTTTTGAAAACCCGGTCCGTAATCCGATTCAAAGGACCCGACACCATTAGGTTCCTCCAGGGGCTGGTAAGCAACGATGTGCGGAGGCTTGAGGACCCGGAACCTGCGGGTGAGAATAGCGCTACACCCAACATGCCCGTGGTCGTAGTTCCGCCTCTGTACGCAGCATTGTTGACTCCTCAGGGAAGGTTTTTGTATGATTTTTTTCTGTATAGACCGCCCCGGCCTGATGAGAAGCTCGATAGGATTGGGTCTGGACCCGGACCCGACCCCGGTGAGCTGGAGATTTACGCCGATGTTGATCGGTCTGTGCTCGATGAGGTCTTGATGACCTTAAAGAAGTAAGTTCTGGGGTCTTATATTGTTTTTAATTCGATATATTCAAAAGCTAATAACTTTCTTGATTTTTGTGTTTTGCTAAAAGTTCGAGTCTTCAAAAAAAATGAGTAGACCCTAATTGAGTGAATATTTACAGTGCAAAGGCTAACTTATGAATTGAAGCTTCAACTTTTAGTTGTAACTTGTAAGAGTATTGCCAGTACGATAATTTATGGTGTGGTTGCTGCATGTGATAATTATCCAGGTAAATCAGAAGCAGTAGGACCCACACAACCTGCTTGGGCGATCTTTGCAAATGCACTAAGCAAGTTTTTTAGCAGAAGTATTGAGTTTATTCTAGAGAGCTGCATATAGGTTGTTCGTGGCATTTATTGGAGATAGTTTTTGAGAAAGGAAATTGGAGTAAAGAGTGTGTATCAATAGAATCACATATATATAAGTTGCCATTTATAATTAGCCTGCTATCACTATGGAGCAATAGGAATGAGGTGATCCACCTCGAGCAGTTGTGCAAATTGTTAGGCTTTAATTACTGAAAACTGAAAAGTGATCAAGCAAGTATATCATCTGACAAGGGGAGACCATGTTGTACAGTGCTGGTGTAATTCGACGGCCAGTACTACATAATTTGGCAAGGAAGATCACACTTTCCTGCTTTGTGATTTCTTATACAAGTACAACAGCTCTGTTCAAGTTCTCATCAAAATATACAATTATTTTCATACAAGTTAATGACAGTGTGATTTCTAATGTATGAAAGTCTTTATAATTCATCAAATTTCAAACCATTGTTTTTTATATATTTAATTTAGAACTCAAGTTTATATGATTCGTTATGCTACATAAGAATTCTGTGTTCATTAAGGTTAAAAGGCAAGCTCTATTTAACAATGATTAGATCAACTATGCTCTATGATTCTTACTTTTGAGTGTTGGGCTCTTAAATCTCAAAATGTTCATCAAATGAATGTAGTGAAAATGAGAATGTCGAGATGGATGAGCTGTCATTCTAAAATGGATAAGATAAGCAATGAAAAATATTCCAATAAGCAGTGATGGCGTAGATTGAGTATAAATTACGGAAAAGAATTGGGTGGTCTATTCATTTTCAGCATCGACCTAAAGAAGCCTCCTTTCATAAAAGTGACATGGTTCGGACTGATCAAAGTGGAAAAGGGAGGGTTAACCAAAATTTGCATAACCTGTCCTAGTTGTAAATGTCTAGCTGCTTTAGATCCCCCATTAGATCTAGCAATCAACGAAGGGAATGCGAATAAGGATTTTTGCCAAACCTCAAATTTTATCGGGGATAAGGCCCAGTCTGTTGTAGTTGTTATTCATTTTGAAGGTACAGAGGCTGTGTAAGCCTTGACATTTCAATCGATATAGTTATTATGTTTTTATGTCATTTTATTTTTATTTGCACCCTTTTTTTTAAATATGTAATCATATAATTTTATTAATAAAAAAAGAATGCACAGGAAGTGTATAATCAACTTAAACAAGAAAAAAGACATGAAATTAGGCTGCCCCTCTATAAGATTACTAGTTGCGGCATTAAACCAACTATACAAAGTCAATAAAAAAATTCTCTAAATTGCTCTGTAGTCCGTATTTGGTTTTCAAAACAGCGATCGTTCTTTTCTCTCCACACGCACCATATAAAGCATTCCGGGATAAGATTCCAAACAAGCTTATTATCCTTATCACGAAGCTTTCTCCTCCATGCCCACTACACGTCCTCAATGCATCTAGGCAACACCCAACCTATATGTTGAGAAGCCAGAATATTATACCACAGCCAACGAACACCGTCGCAGTGAATGAACAAGTGGTCGTGCGACTTCCCATCACTCCTACACATATAGCATCACTTGATTACATAGAACCTTTTTCTTCGGAGGTTATCCATCGTTAATGTCCGTCCCCTGATAACCGTCCACAACAAAAATTTCACACGTGGAGGAAATTTACATTGCCACACCATCTTCCAAGGGAATGAATTCTCCATAGGTCCCAAGAGGGATTTAAAATAAGAGTGAACTGAAAAAACATTTCGTGCCAACCGCCACTGGCTACGATATTCCTCTCCAACCCGAGTTTTCACATCATACAAATGGTTTAAAAACAATGCATAATCATCCAATTCCCAATCCCGCAAACTCCTCTGAAAGGTAATATTCCAGCTGGAACTCCCATTGTGGATGACTAAAACGTCATTCACCATAGCAAATAACACCATAGTTATGCGATACAAGGTAGGAAACCTCATCTTTAGCATATCTCCACACCAACAGTCCTCCCGAAACCTGATATTGTTACCATTCTCAACCACAAAAGTCAATCTATCTCGAAGGTCGCTCCAACCTCGACGAATATACCTCCACAAGCTCACCTCAAGCGACCTTCGACCTTCGACCGAACACCAACCCCCCTCCATCACTCCATACTTCGCCCCAATTATTTCTCTCCAAAAGCTCTCCCTCTTCACTCCAAATCTCCATAGCCATTTACCCAGTAATGCCTTATTAAATAAAATGAGCATCCTCAATCCGAGACCCCCAATCCTCATGGGAGAGCAAACCACATCCCAATTAACCAAATGAAGTTTCCTCACCTCTCCCAATCCTGCCCACAGAAATTCCCTTTGAATCTTCTCTAATTTATTTGCCACTGCAATAAAAATCTGAAACAATGACAAAAAATAAGTAGGGATATTTGAAATAGTAGACTTAATGATAGTAAGACGGCCTCCCTTCGAAAGATACATACGCTTCCGCCCCGCTAACCTCATTTCCACCTTTACCACGATAGTATTCCAGATGTTAATACTTTTAAACCGTGCCCTTAAAGGGAGTCCTAGATATGACATAGGTAATTGCGCCACCCTACAACTCAAAATAAAAGCTAGTTCCTCCACTTTAGTGACCTCCCATATTGGAATAACCTAAGATTTCCCCAGATAAATTTTCAATCCAGACACCACTTCGAAGCAAAGGAGTAACCGGCGTAAGTTCCTGAATTGTTCCTCATTTGCGTCACATAAAATCAGTGTCATCTGCAAATAACAAGTGGGACACCTGCAATTGACCAACCGAAAAAACCCTTTATCAAACTCTCCCGCCTCGCTTTCTCGAGCATCCTACTGAAGGCCTCCATAACAATCACAAACATCAATGGAGATAATTGATCCCCTTGTTTTAACCCTCTGCTACTCCGAAAATAACCCTCAGGGGTATAGTTAACCAAAACAGAGAAAGAGACAGTAGAGATACATAATTGAATCCACTTACACCACTTATCCCCAAATCCACATCGCCTAAGCATATACAGGAGGAACCTCCAGTTCACGTGATCATAAGCCTTCTGAACATCGAGCTTGCAAAGCATCCCTGGAACCCTTTGGCGCAATCTCGAGTCAATGCATTCCTTCGCTATAAGAACAGAATCCAAAATTTGACGACCCTTCACGAAGGCATTCTGAAACTTAGATACCACTCTCCCAAGCACCTCCTTAAGTTTGTTCTCCAAAACTTTTGCAATAATCTTGTACACTCCACTAACAAGGCTAATTGGACGAAAATCCTTAATATCAGTCGCTCCATGTTTCTTAGGGATCAACATAATAAATATTGCATTAGAATTTCTCAAAAACCTGCCATGCTCAAAAAAGTAAGTGAAAACATCAAGAATTTCGTATCGCACCAACTCCCAACACGCATTATAAAAAGAGAATGAAAACCCGTCTGGTCCTGGAGCCTTATCATCATTCATACTAAACATTACCTCCTTAATTTCATCATCCCCAAATGGTCTCTCCAACCATCCAGCGTCCTCCTCCGAAATAGTAGAAAACTCCAATCCCTCCAACTCTGGCCTCCACTCAAACTGCTCCCGATATAGATTCTGGTAGAATCTCACCATATAGGTCCCAATCTCCCGTGGATCTTCATAAGTAACCTCATCTACCTCCAATAAGTAACCTCATCCACCTCCAACACTGTGATAGAATTGTCGTGCCTGTTAGAATTGGCAACCCTATGAAAAAACTTAGTACATTTATCTCCATCTTTCAATCACGTGACCCTAAATTTCTGACGCCAAGCAATCTCCTCCATCTCCACCAACCTCACAAGCTCTTCCCTTAATGCACCACGTCTCTCCCTCTCATCCCCACCCAACCCTCGACTCTCCTCAATCTTATCCAACTCTTCAATATCGAAAAGACACTGGACCTTACAAAAGTTCACATTTCCCACCACCTCCTCATTCCATCTTTTTAAATCCCTTTTCAATGCCCTCAACTTCTGATCCAGCATAAAACTGGGAGTCCCCGAGTAATCATAGGAAGCCCACCAAGTTCGTACACACTCCCCAAAGCCTTCCACTTTTAACCACTTCTTCTCAAACCTAAAAGGCCTTAGACCACTACTTCTAGTGTTCCCAGCTAACAAAATAGGGAAACGGTCAGAATACACCCTTCCCAATCTCCTTTGAATAGCATCCGAGTACTTAGCCTCCCACTCACCACTACCAAGAATCGGTCAATACGAGATAGAACAGGTTGATCTCGATTAGAAGACCAAGTAAAATCTCCCCCAATCAAAGGCATATCCATCAACAAATTCTCCCTAATAAAATCCGAAAAATCTTCCGTAGCCCCAGTAAGTCTCTCACCACTCGACCTTTCAGAGGAAAATCGAACCACGTTAAAATCACCCCCAATACACGTTGGAAGATTCCACCAAGCCATCATACCAGTCAACTCATCTCACAAGCCCTTTCTACTCTCATCAGAATTAGGTCCATAAACTCCTATAAACATCCAATGAAATCCATCCCCAATATTTCTAAGCGAAAGCGACAAGAAGTATGTCCCTATACTAGTATCCACCATATCAAACACTCTAGTGTCCCACATGATTAGAATGCCTCTTGATGCCCCCCGAAGACCCCGAAAACTGATATCCAACATGTTGTCCCCCCCATAAGCTACTGACCACAACTCTCGAGACGAATTCCAATTTAGTTTCCTGCAAACAAACAAGGTCCGCCCCCATCCCCTTAACAAATTTCGAAGACCTAATCTTTTCCCAACCTCATTAAGCTCCCTCACATTCCAGCTAATAAGTTTTGGGATCATTTTAACACTTCGTCGTCCCTCCCTAGCAATCCTTTCCTTGACTCATCACCCTTGATATCATAATTTACTGACCATTTGAGCCGCTTAAGTTCGCGAACACCTTCCTTCTTGCCTTACCTTCTTGTGTACTCATCCCCTGCCGCCCACTAGCCTCCAGTTTCTCGAATAATTGCATGAGTCTACTTTCGTATCCATCGCAAGACACACCAACCAAACTACTGAACTCCCGAATTTTTTGAAGGACCCAATTTGAAGGTTGGGGTCCAGCTTCAATCGCATTCACCTTCATTATTTCCTCTGCAAGGCAACACTCCAAAGGTTCATACAAATATGCCTCTACATCCTCCACATGTACAACACCATTGTCAGTCCCCTCCTTCTGACCGCCTCTTACCCACAGCACCAAAGCTTTTTCAGTTCCTAACTCTTTTTCTTTAAGAGACTTAGCGTGCCTTTTGTTATATGTGTTCCCGACCATAACTGCCTCACGCATCGCCTTATACTCTGTCAAGACTATCGAATCTGAGGGTAGTCCATCCGTCAACAAATTCGTGTCCATCTCGTCCAGTGTAGCCGACTCCAGGTTTACCATCTTCGGCACCCCTTCCTTAGACAAGGAGACCCCCTTCCGATTTGTTGCGAACCCCAAAACTCTCATCCGTATCCAACTCCACCACTTCAACCCCTTCATCATTCCCGGAGTATACTGCTTCAATCTGTGTCTTGAAAGTGAGCTGCCAACGGTGACAACTCCTTACAAACCAAGCCCGCTTTTGTTTTTGGGTATCTAGAGAATCATCTACGCCAACCCCACACTGCTGATAAAAAACTATTTTGGGGGCCACCTCAGCCCCACCACCCACTAGCCCGATTAAGGCATCCAACTCTTTTTTCAACATTTGGACTCGAGCCTTTATTTCAGCATTGTTCATTGTTCTACCCCGTGAACCTTCTGCATGTGACTCCATCGGCATAGGCACCCAAAGATGATCGTCAAACTCCCTCACATTATACATCTTGTCATTTCGCACTATCCTCCGTTGGTCATCTTTATGCGATGTCTGTGAGTTGGCCGTAATTTCGGCATAAGTCATCCCTTGTCTATTTCTTGCATCCATCATTCGGCTCTTAGCTTTATCTCCAGCAACAAATAAATTGCCCTAAACACCCTTGAAAACAATGCCCATCACTCACCATTCACACCTTCCGGCACCATCACAACTCCCGTCCGACGCCCTCCTCAATATTGTGCTATCGTCAGGTACCGACCACGGCTGTTCGCACAGCGTTGTGCCAAAAAAGCCCTTGTAGACTCGTTAAACTTAGAGACAAAATCCTCTGACTTACTAGCCGCTCTCAACTTATCCACCATATTCACCATCCATAGTGCACCAAATCTCCCCATATAGATAGCAGACGACATCCACCCCACTCTATTATCCTAACGGTACTTGATTCGTTAACAAACACCTCAAACTCCTTTGTCTCAACTCTAACTCGTCGATTAAATACCATTCCATATGCACCCACCTGCTTTTTCCTTCGATTGTGAAGAAACGGAACATCAGATGACACAATGGGCTTGCGAATGACGCCGGGGATGATCTGCCCGATTTTCTGACAAGAGAACCTTTTCCCATTAATGGGATGATTTACCTTTTCTGTTGTGGAAGAATGGAGATTACAGTCACAAAACTATCAATTATAAAAACCATCAAGACGGAGAATTATAATCGCAGAAAGAAAGAGAAGAAACTTATGCGGTTGGCAAATTACACACTTACATGGAGGTACAGATCACAAAATTCCACATTTAAGTGTGGAGATACAGTTCCTCTCAATATCATTAATACTCAAGCCCCAATTATGACCAAGTTATCTCTCTCTGCTGCAGCATGCCCTCATTTTATGCCAGAAATACTTTTTCCTGACAAGAACTTATTGTAGATGGGAGGGACTCTTTATTCTGGCTCTTGTTCTTCTTAACTTACCAATGCATGCCCTTTTCTTTATTGTTTTTACTTATCAAAAAAAATCTTACCAATGCATGATCCCTATATTTGTCAAACCTTCCACGGAATTTGACCTAATGTGGCGTGACTCAAACTTCGAATTTAATGTCATCAAAAGACTCTCTGCTTTGGAAGACGTGATTGGCTGCTTGATTTTGTATCTAGTAAATCACTAGGCTTCCTGCACAATCTATTTCCACCTCTTTGTAACTGAGTGACACACATTGAATGTACTGATGTGGCTTCAGGCATCTGAGTCATCATACATTTTCGACATATGCAAAAAAATTCTTCATAGATTGTATAAAGAGGAACACATTCAAGTTCTTTTTGTTCTCTCCTCAGCAATGAAGACCGAGTACCTAAACTTATAGGTGTGACGAGCTTACCTAATTCTTTGATAATTAGCATAACCAAAAAAAATTTCTTAAACCAAGGGCAATTAGTATAACTAAACGTATGTGTCTTTGAGGTGAACTCTAATATAACTTTTGCAATAAATTCTGGTTTTGCAGATATCGTTTAAGGTCCAAGGTTGATATTGAAAACATGGCAGAAAAGTACTCTTGCTGGCAAAGGTTTGGTGGGAAAATTGCAGAAAAGTCGTCTTCTCCAGAAACATTGGGAGGTAATTCAGTTGGCTGGGGTGGTACTGTTGATCCTTCTGGTGTATCAGCTTCAAGAGGACATAGTTCTGGTTGGCATTGGAACAAGGATCCAAGATTGGATTGCCTTGGAGATAGAAGCATCTTTCCTTCCAGCACGACACGTACGTTCTTTCAACCTCCTACCTTCTCTTGCCTTCTCATGTCATATTTTGTTTCATCTATCTTACGCAGTCCATTATGAAATGTTGTATTACTACGGACCTGAGAACTTTAGACTCGCAAAATGAGGCGAAGTTGGAATTCTGAAAGAAAAAATTTGGTTTGCTGGTGTCGGCATTTGCCACAAGTGTCTTGTGTTCAACCAAGAATTCCTCCTGTATCTATGTTTTAATTTGTTTATTTGTTGCAGCACCTCTAGTTGAGGCGGATGAAGAAACTGATGAAGAAAATTTTCTTTTGTGGAGATTGGAGAAAGGAGTTGCTGAAGGCTCAACAGAGATCCCAAAAGGTACATATTCCTTTGAAGTCTCAAAAGGTATATATTCCTTTTGTGATGAGAATATAAGTAGATTCCACAAAACTTAATATCAACTTCCTTTGAAATGATCACTAGAAAACCTTTTTCTCATGCTTGAGAAGCTTCAGAAATGTTTGTATTTCGCATTATGGCTAAGAAAATATCATGTTTAGGAACACGTGAAATATTAGCAGAAATAGAAATTTTAGGCGCAATAGAAAGGAATGCTGTAACAGGGGAGGGTGAACACTCATAGATATCGGGTGCCCACATATATAGAGTCAAAAGAGATATTGAGTACTGCAGAAAAAGAAGATTTGTTGCAATGTAGCTCCATAAGAACCATAAATAGAAACACGTGAAATATTAGCAGAATTAGAAATTTTAGGCGCATTAGAAAGGAATGCTGTAACCGGGGTGGGTGAACCCGCATAGAGATCTGGTGCCCACATATATGGATTCAAAAGAGATATTGAGTCCAAAGGGGAGTGGGTTTTCTGCAGTGCCCGAGAGATTGAATGGAGAGGGCCCTACAAATCATTGGTCTGGGGGTAAAGGAATAAGATCCTAAGGAAGCAAAGCTAAAGTAATCCAGTCCGGAGACTATAAGGGAATTCAGGTTAGAAGAATTCTACTTGAACACTGTCTCTTTGTACAGGTTAAGAAATTTGGGCTCCCTATATGCATCTTTTTTAACCCCGATATTTTTAGGACATTGAAAGAAAAAGTCCTATCTTGTTAGTCTCCCATTCTTCATCCATTTTCTCTTATACATTTTTAATGCGGCAAGTGGGGGAAATCAATTTTACTTTTGGTAACGAAAACAACTGATTTAGGAATGTTTCTTTCTGTATTTTCTGTGATGGCCCAACATCCAACCATTTTGGCACTGAACCACTGGAAGCAGTTACATGGAAAGATGGCCTGGAAAAAAATCCATTTCAACATATAAAGGGACAAGATCTTGGGAAGCGAGTCCTAAAAATGTTCTGTTTGTGGAAACCAGCCTTGAAGGCTTTTTTTTTTAATCAATTCATCGAGCATGATTACATTTAAACTGGCTATTATAAATTCATTGGAGAATTACCATATGCTAATTAACTTTTTGTTCCTCCCATTTTTAACCTTGTCCCCCACCCACCAAATTCACTACCATCGAAAGCGAAGAAAATATATCTTTGTGGATGCACTAAATTTTTCTTCTTGGATTTTCATTGAAAAGATAATTGTGGTTGTACATTTATTCTCCCATGGGAAAATGAGAATGGGAGAAAGTGTGGTTCAACTTGTAAATTTGAAAAAAACACGGAACTAATGAGTTAAGCAAAAAGCACAACAAAGGAGAGATACGAAAGAATTATCAATCCTATTAATTGAAGTGGAGTTTGAAATAAGAAAACAGCCTAGCACTCTCAAGGATGAACGAATTCGGCTTTGATTGGGTGGGAAGAAAACCAAGCAAGTTTGCATTATATGAAATTTTTACTTGGCAGAAGGCCCTGAGCAAATAGAGTATATTGTTTGTATTAAAATTTAAATGAAATGCAACATTCTATCTTTCTCATCCTATTTCTCATCGGAGTGCAATGGGATTGATAAAAAGTTAAGCGGAAAAACCATTTATGGGGGTGCAAAAGGCTATTTGAGAGAAGGATGAGCTTCATGCAATAAGTTGTACCCAACAACTGCTGTTGGACTTAGCTGGATTGATTGGATATGTGCCACTAAACAGCGCTGTGAACTAGCTCATATCCAGGTGCATGGCACGCAGATGCTCCAAATTCTGCGTCTTTTGTGTCTTCATCTGTTTATCCTTTTTATGCTTCTGTTCTGCATTCTTAAGTGCAGTATATATGTGGTAAAGAAACATTTATTTAAAGTTTTAAGTGTGCGAAGAACATGCTTTAATACTTCAATGAAAACCTGTGAAATCGACTCAATGTCTTTGTAGATAAGACCACTGATTGATGCACCGACTATTTCTATATGGTTCAATTCCAATGTAAGTGCACTAGATATATAAATTTTGAGCCACTATTTGGACTAGTGATAGCTTGTAGGTGAGGCAATTCCACTGGAATACAATCTTGCTGGTTTAAACGCAATAAGCTTCGATAAAGGATGCTATGTGGGCCAAGAGCTCATTGCTCGTACTCATCACCGTGGTGTTATCAGAAAGCGTTTGGTTCCTTTGAAATTTCTGGATGACAGTGGAAAAGGTACTATTTTTCAATTGTTTACATGTCACTCACCATCTTGATGTCTCAACAATTCTCTCTTTTTTGATGCAGAGGTGGAGCAACAAGTTGCTTCAGGTTCAGAAATAATTGACAAGACATCTGGGAAAAAGGTTGGGACAGTCACGACTGCACTTGGATATTGTGGTCTGGGACTCCTGCGCTTGGACGAAGCTTTCAAAGACACGAGCACCTTGACCATAAAAGGACAGGAAGACATTAGTGTCGAGAGCATTAGACCAGAATGGTGGCCAGCTGGGTGGTTTCTAGATCATCAACAAGTTCGTGAAGCTGCATAGAGCATTCCTTTCAGGGATTTCATTTTGCTGATTTTCGTTTGGCCTTCGTACATCCAAAGTAATGGAAGTCTCGGGATAGAAAATTGGAGGCCATTCTTGTAGTGATTTACTGTAAACTTTATGTAACCTTGGAACAAAGTTTTTCAATCTCTGGCAGCTTTTGTAGATGCAGCCGGTAGTGTTTACTCAGCGAAGTTGGATAACAGGTCAGTAAATAACTGCAACAGTGATGATTTCTTTAATAATTGTCCAAACGATTAATTAAGACATGATCCTTTTTAACATATCATACATTGTGCTTAGAGCGTTCATCATGCAGGGTTTTTCTTTTGTACAATTGCAAGTGCTGTGCATCTTGAAGTAGTCAATTAAGTGACTAATAAATGGAAGAGCACGGTGAAGTGAAGAGTTACTTTTTGTGCCAGAAACACCATCACAGTTTAGATAACTAGGCATCGAAAGTTCTTTGTTGGGTGACTAGTAGGTCGTCCTACTATGTCTTTTTCATATTTACAAGCATTCAATTTCGATCAAACTTACATAAGATAGTCGATTGGAAGTGGAACATTTTTATTTGACAAATTTAAAGTAGCACATAATTTATTACAAGTCTACCAGGATAAGTAGCACGACCTAATATAGAAGTATCACTCAATTGAGTGCGTTGAGCATATTTTTTTCCGACAATAGTTGCTCTTATTTCTGAACAAACAAGAGTACAAAGTGCTGTGGCGTCTCACAAACGAATAGCAAAATAAATTGTCATTTACAAAGTTCATCTACACAAGTTGTCTAAATTCTGACACTTACTAACATTGTACAAGGTTTCAAGGTAGAGAGGCAACAAATTGAGAATGATAAACTGGAATCTGAAGTTCGACAATAGTTAGGCGCCGCTATGGTTTGCTCATTATTGGAGAACAGGTGCAGCAAAAGAGGCGAGTTTTCCAGATTTTGAGAGTCTGTACCTTCGGGAGCCAGAGGTGGTTCGTTTTCATTCGAATAGCTACCAAAGTCCCTCTTATCATCCTCTGGTGCATCGTCAGTATCTCCTTTTCCATTGTTTTGTTCACTTGAACTCCCACCAGAACCATCCTTCGGCATACCTCTGACCAAGTCTGGTCGAGCTTCAACACCCACCTGTCTTAGGTGTAACTGTTGTATTGAAGACATTTATCAAGTAATTATTGGTAGTCTAGTTGCATGAGCACGAATTGCAGATAAAAAATATTCCTGCACAAATACCTGAAGATGAAGATTTACTTCATCTGGTCGTGAAAGAAAAGGAAAATCACCGCCAGTCTTGAGAGACGCTAGTCTGGCACCAGGGTACCTTTCGATCACTTGATCTTTAAGTTGCTGAGGAATTGCACAGAAATCGTTCGTCTTCAAGCAGCCATAACCACACCAAAAAAGTCGCACTGTCAAGCTTATATTAACTTCTGTAACAATCATAAGGTTTTAAAACAACAAATATGGGTCAAGACATCTTATTTCATCTAATTTAAAGCCTAGATAGTCCAGTATCCAATAGTAGGAGCAGGAATAACAAGTTTGCTGGGAAGAATTCAAAATCCTGCAGACTAAAATTACTCTCTACTTACCGTACTCGGAAGAATAATCATGTAAGTACATATTTAGTACACGGTATTGTATATACGCTATAATAAGCAAGAATTTGGCCTCTTTTTCTTCCATACTACTGTATACTACTATCCAATCCTCCCTACTAAAGATTGTCATGTGGAAATGTAAATTGCCTTTGGAACATACCAGAAATAAGTAGTAGTAAACAACATTTTATTGCTCTATTTAATTTAAATAATTACTTCAGTTAATTTTTCAAACCCATGGAGAATTCCTGCCCGAGTATTAAATTATCAGGGAGGTCTAAAGAAGTTCCATACCTTGTTAAGTGGTTGGTGTTGATGAGAATCTAGATCATAAAAGACAACTAAATACGTTATATATCTAAAGTTGTGTGAACATACATCCATTATAGTGATTAAGGAATCAGAAAGCAGAAGTGGTCCTACTGATGCAGCATCAACTGTCAAACTCAATCTGGAAGCCAAGATTTCTCTAGATAGAGTTTCAACCTGCATGGAAGTTCAATAGTTACAGATTAAGTAATAAAAGGAACACTATGGTCTAGTAACTCCACTTGGTACAAACTCTAGGTAAGCTGTTGAACTGTGTTAAAAAAATTCAAAGTAGACCAATCCAAAAACAAAAAGATGGGTCATTTTCTCTTTATCAATGAAGAAGAAATGATTTTGTTCATAAATGTAATTCCTGAGGTAAGGCTCTTTATGACTATTAATCTATAGTGCCAAAGCCCCTATCTAAGTTTAGTCAGGAGCTTACTTAAACTTAGAAGGAATGTAATGATATAAAATAAAAAAACACTTTTTGTTCATAGATGGATGACTGATGCCTTTTGATATTCTTGGATAACAAGGTAGCAACCAGTATAAAACTAACTTGAAGCAATAGTCTTGGATGTCATGGCAACCACTAATAAAAAGTCATCAAGTTCATGAAGAATTTTTACCTGAGCAACAACAAAGTCCACAGAATCTGCAATAAAAGGTTCATGGGGGCCGTCATGAATCCCAGTTAGGACATACCTCTTCAGTAGAAAAGCCGGAGTCCAACCAACACTGTCAAAGATCAAGCCCGCATTAGAATAACTTATTGTGCTAAAAGATTATTGTCATGCACACACATGCCAGATACATGACATCATCAGCTGGAAATTCTTTCCAGAATTATGCTCCTAAACTGCCCTGCAAACGAATCATCCATCCCATGCAAAAAGCGGAACTAAAAAAGAATTCAAAAGGAAAACTTCAAAAGGGTAGGATGAGGGGAAGTGGAGGAAAACAATAATCTCCCATGTTACTTTGACTCTTCTGAATGCGTGAAGTATCAAAATCAGATCCTTGACACTAATGTGACACTTGTTTGATCTAATAAATATATCAAAGATGCTTAATTGTTCTACAACTATTTCAAATATATATGAATTGCATTTTGAACTGGTGTATCAGATAACTTTACCATAGAGATACATGAAAAAGATTATTAAGCCCCTGTTTGGCACCCATTCTCATTTTCATTCTCTTTCTCTTTCTTCATTTCAACCACACAATCTCCAAATAAAATAATATTACCCACAAATCTAAAACTTTTCATCACTTTTCCACCACATATTCTTCCATCAATTACTATTCCAAAATTTTTCAACCCATTAAAATGGGCGTCAAACACTCACAAAGTATTTATGTTTTTACGGTCAGGGTGCTGATTTTTCAGGTCTGACAAAACCAATGTAGGACACATACATAGAATTTAAGCAGAAAGGTGCACACAATGAATGTCTGGCACCATATTAGAGAAAATTAAATTAAATTAACTTAGTAACGGTATGATACAACAGAGGTGGAATGACTAGGAGATCTATTAGAAGTATGAATTACAGCTAACTGGTGTTGGAACAAGTAATCCCGTTGAGAATCATCACTATTCCCTTAATTATCTAGACGTTTGACACTTGAGACGCTAAAATGGTTAATTGTAAATTTTCAAATAGTTTGAGCATTCTACTGAATATGCCATGCAGTCCGTAAACTAAAGGGGTTTGCAATTGGCCAAAAATTGAAGTTATGTTCAGGAATGTGAACACCAGGTTTCTTCCAGTTATGATGAATTCTAGCTTGGAATGGCACAAAAACACCTCTTAAAATTAATATCGTGGAAGAATATGGTCAAAGAATTTATTTAGAAAATTAATCAAATAAAAAAGAGCAGTTGAAAGCAATAAATGTTAAATTTAATCTATTTGAAGGCCTTCAGGAAATGAAATAACTTGCATTGACGAAAGAAAAGGAAAGTTAAAATCACTCTGGCATGTGAAAATGTTCTTATTTTGCTTACTAGAGACGGTCAAAATACTACTTAAGTTCACAGAATATAAGTAGCTAGAAAACTTGCAGAATTTAAACATTTCAATGTACTTATTTTATCATGAACATCATGTTTGCTTCCCACTTTCCTTTTCACCCTTCTTGCTGGAAGGAAGTTTTGAGAACAGTTGACACCCGTCACATGAGAAATTTACTACCAGTATCCCAAATGTAAATCCTTTTCTTTCTGGTCATGGATATACTATAGCCTGGGGTCTAAGAGCAGAAAGCTGAAACATACCACTTTAGATTTTCTTCAGTGTACAAGTAATTTGAATTGGATTAAGAAGAAATTGATCCACATAGAAAGCTAGAAAGAGAATAATATACGATTTGAAAAGACAATGACTTGTATTAGATCAAGCTCGTGTGTGCATCCAATCACAAGTAAAGCATCATGGATAACATACATGGGAGCCCATGGCATGGCTGCAGAAAAACTACTTGTCTCCAAAAATGTGTTTGAGAGTACCAATGACCTAACTCGTCGTGGGCGATGCTGTGCAAAAAGTTGAGCTAAGAAGCCTCCAAGAGATATGCCATAAAGATGTATCTGGTAAATACAAATTAAACAACCACTTCAGTTTATGATTTAATAATGTCGTCGCATCCGTTACAGGCCATTAAAGTGTAGAATTTTGGTTTTTTTTTTTGAAAAAAAGTAGGTTTTCCCATCAAATAAACTTTCCAAGAAAATTGGCTGTTCTTTGAAACTTGACAGTAAAGATCAACCTCTTGTTGAACCAAGACAAAAAGTGGTCCTAGTATCCTCAGCCTGTTGAGTTAGCCCATGGTTCCTTGCGTTGCGCATAGCCAATAAGGAAATTGTGTTTGAAAGTGCAAATATAGATGAATATAACTTATATTTTCATATGCAATTTGGATGAGTGAAGTAATTGAACCTATGTGCCATTGACATTTATTTCTTGTCACTGTAGCTCTTTCATTGAGCCCCCGTTTGACCCCATTATTTCAAATTATAATATTTGGAATAGTATTTTTTTTGGAGAATGTGGTGGAAAAAGAATGAAAAGTTTTTGGTTTACGTGTAATATTATTTTATGGAAAATTGTGTAGTTGAAAATAAGAGAGAAGAATAAATTTTTGGGATTATGGGGGCCAAACGGGGGTTGAATTTTGGTTTATGCTAAAATTTGGTAATTTTCCGTCCACCAAGTGGTTCACATGCCCATATTCCATAACCTACCCCACTAGCCAAAACCCGCCAAGTCACCAGGAGAGTGGCTTAATTGATCGTATATATGTGTTAATATAAATTATCAATTCTTGTGTTTCAAGAATTCCATGTGTTTTCTCCATACCATTTCTGCATAGGTCAATGGAATAGTAGGGAATGAATATTTAAATTCTTCATGTGAACAATACGCTACATTTCCCTCCCAATTCACCAGCGTACAACTATACCATCTAGATATAGGAAAGATAGCCTTTGTAAGCTCATGAACCTCAACATTCGGGTAGAATTCCGAAGTTAAATCTCAATCATCTTCTACAGCATCTTTTCTTATGCGTGCATCAGAATCAAGCCCTTTTAAAGGGTCCGAACCTAGAGAAATGTCGGAACACTGCTAATGAAACTTTTATTATATATTAGGATAAAAGACCAGCTCCAAGTGAAAGGCAATCCCTCAAGCAAAAAATACAAGGAAAAATTCAAGAGTTCAATGTGAAAAAAGTAACTCTAACAAGCTTTGATGAACACAAAATATTCAGCTCAATCATAGCACAATATAGTACAGTAGGAGTCAGTATTAGTATGGGGAAATTGAAGGCAATTACACAGTGATGTGTGAAAGACAGACAAATCTTACATGATGAACATCAATAGCATCCAGAAACTTCTCAAATGCTTGAATCCACTCGTGGTGATTCCACACACGAGGAATATCAACAGATATGACTCGGTAACCCTGAAGAATTTAAAAAATTACTTCTTTTTGTCAACTATAAGATGTGCTCTATCCCAAGTACAAAATTAAAAGAGGCCAAACTGCAAGAAATAAAAGAAAACACCATTCTTGATATCCAGTACCAATAACAATGACATCATATTTACAAAACATAAATAGGCACAAGCCATGAAATCATGAAAATGATACCTCTCTTATAAAAGTGGAAACAGATATTTCTGGAAATTAAAGTTGAATAACGATGACAAAAAATTGAATATCAACAGAAAAGAGGAAGGCAAAAGGGATGCTATGTCAATAGGAACAAGAAAGTGTTTATAGCTGTCGAACTATAAAGAAGAATACTCATCTGAGCCAAAGTACATATAGAATATGGGATTGTAATGTATTTTTTCATCTTAATTTTTACATCCTATTCCTATCTATTTATTTCATTAGCCTCAAATGTCTAGAGGGGAACTTTTGTCTTTTTCATTAGCTTTCATATGCAGTATTGAGGGGATTTTAGAAGTTTGGATGGATGGAAGAAATTATTTCTGCCAATAGAGGGAAGATTAACTTCAATCAAATTAGAGCTAGCAAATATTCTCATCTTTTGTATCATTCTTTAAAATGCCAGTTAATATTGAGAATAGTTTAAACCAAAACGAATGGGATTTCAGAAGAATTATGAGAATTTCCCAGAAAACACTTTCAAGTTCATATCCCAAGGATATTCCTCTTTTACCTGGTTCATAAAAGTGGATCTGCGTGTGGGGGATGTAATTTTTTTGTTTGATTGGTCCTCTTGCTTCTTCATTTCCAGGATTCTATAATCTTTCTTTCTTTAAAAAATTTCCTGTAACTTCTGTTGAACTTAATAATGAAAAATGGATTGGAAAATTTAGTTTTAAAGTAACTTGAGGGAGGGTGAGATTTTAAAATGTTGTTTTTATTATTTTCAATAACCTTAACTCAGACCTTCTCAGACTGACAAAAAAGCTGTGGATTTTAGTGTCCTGCTCCTCGGAAACTTTTTCTGTAGGTCATTCTTCCGTATTCTTGTTGATTTGCCAAACCACCCTGTCTTTGTCCCATTCAGGCTCATTTGGAAAATTTGGATCCCTTGAACCAATATATTTCTATGACAAGTGTCACATATGAAATTTAACACTTGTACCACTTGATCTAAAAGTTTAAATTTTTAAGGAGGGCCGCATGTATATCATTTATCTCATCTCCAAAATGCCCCCTCACGTGTAGACGAGGTTCATTTTTCTCATTAAAGCTTTACAAGTGCATAACTTCTAATAAATGGTGGCACGAGACTTGACCTCAAGATCTTTGTTGTTTAACTACTTATCTAAAAATTTAAACTGTTATCATCTGATCTTATCTCCAACATTTTTAAAACTGTCAATTCATTCAAAAGAAATTAGTCATATGTGAAAATTAATTATTGTTAACTTGTGAATTGATTTGCAAGGAATGTCTTTTTTTCTATCTTCCCTTCACGGTTCGGGAACTTGAAGTATAGAAATAATTCAGAAGATATCGATACTCAGCTATACATTGAGGTGTTGCATGGCTCTGGTGTAGACTTCCTTGGGAACCAGCTTTAATTTGGTTGCAAGGGTTACTCCTTGAAAAGACATTGGGTTTGGTGAGGGAAAGAGGGTTGTATGTGGAACGCAACAGTCTTGGCTATGTTTCGGTAACTTGGATAGAGAGAAAGAGCTATAATTTGAAAATTGATATGAAGAAGCTTAAAATTTAAGTTTTTAGTATCCTTATGGATTTTGTAGATAAGAGTTCAAGAGGACTTGTTTATCCTTAATTATCCTAAGCTGAAAAGCTATATTGTATTCTTAATTTTTTTATTTTATTTGGTGTCAGTGGACCCCTTATCCTCCAAACAATAGTAGTTAAGCTTCTAGAATTAATGAATTCAAGTTTATTAACACAAAAAATTCAACCACACAACTCGTCCCCCTGAAGATATACTTTCTATTTATATGGTTTGGCTACTATCTACCTTTAAATACTTGAACATATACCAAGTGCCCAACCACCTAAATTTCTATAATTACTAATATTATCATTAAAAAAAAAAAAATTATTGTTTGACCTTCTTCCAAATCTATCGATGGGAAATCCACACTGGATGTGACATCTCACATTATGAACAGGAAATTATTGCCACTATGATGTTGATAAATATCAACCTCTCAATTCTCATTACACTGTGTTTGTTTTGCTTTCATGAGGTAGAAATAAAAAAGGAAATTCAATGGCCAAAGGTCGACAGAGTCTATTATTAGAGTTGGAATGCTCAAAGCCAATTAAAAGTATTAGCTGCATTTATTATTAAACTTGATTTGAAGCTTACTTTGTAGTCAGAAATGTCACTTCGGACCTTAATTGGCTCGCAATTCTACAATCAGAGACTTCAAAACTGAGACATCTGGGTCACTTGAACATATTCAGACAGGGACTCTAAATATTACTAAAAGACAAGCTAGGTCGGGGCCCCTTGACAGGACATGCGTGTGGCAATATTAAGTTCTAAACAGAATGTCTTAAATTGATTTTGTTCGAATTAGACATAGTTCCATAGCATTATCTTAGAGAAAACTATGCAATGATGAAACTAACACGAACAATAGTTCCTGAAGTTTGACACGAGAAATAATAATAGTATGTAAAATAAAAACCTGAGAAACCAACAGCCTGACCAGAAAAAGTCAGAAAAGATATTCAGATTCAATAGAAGGGCACAAGAAATAGGAGTTTTTGCGAATGGAACTGATTAGGTAAGAAATAGGTAAAAAAAATACCCAAAGAACTATCACTACTTCCAAGAGTGCAAGTGTATTGAGTACTTAATTTAACAAGGATAATAATGAGATTGCCCACTGGAGAAAATACAAATTTTCAATTGGATTGTTTAGGGTAAGCATACAGGATCATATGCAAAATAATATGCAAAATTTAATTGTACACCATGTTGTAACATTGTGGGAAAACAGCATATAAATCAGCAAAAAAGCTAACAGTTATTTTATTTTCTTATCTTGGAGTATGTCCCTTGAGCGAAAGTAGGATTTTAAACAAAAACTTCTCACCTTCTTGCTTTTAGTCAGGCAATCAAAAGAATTTGGTGAAACTTGTGCAAACAATTTGTGTTTAATGCAGGGCTCTTTTTATGCCCTTTTTAAGACTCAAAAATCACACACACAACATCTAACGAATCAAAAGACATCTATACTTGCATTTTTTAAATTTGTTTTCTACATTCATTCTTTTTTTAAATTTGGCAAAAAAAAAATTCAATATTAAATGCAACAGCCTACATGTTCAGGGGATATTGATGATGCTGGAGGACGGTAAAGCTGATCAAAATATCTCCCCTTTGTCTTTGATATTGTGCATGGCATGATATGACTTGTGTAAAGGAAAAAAAAATTAGATAGAGCCCAAGGATGAAACCCCGAAGGAGACCTAATCAGGTTGATGTTAAGTTCACGTTTGAGGATTATTATTATTATTTTTTATGTTAAAAATAATAACATCACATGCTCTGTGTAAAGTTATGCTTCAAGATGGTTCTCTAATTAACTATTTCAAAAAAATTATAGATAATGAGCTCAATACCTTCATGGATAATGACATGATTTGTTTGTAGTACACATCTGCAGTTCCAGCTGTACCAGGAAGACAGATTAGTGGAGGCACAACTTTGGGGCCAAAATCATAGTATCGCCACTGCTTTGAATAAATCTACAAAACATTTTAGCGAAGTTTTTTAGGTACCTCATGAGATTCACTATAAAGGTACTGATATTTTAATGCAATATCTTCCAGAAAAAGTGTTAATGATAATAGAGGCCTAAAAGTATAGACATAACATTCATGACATTTTATTTAATGTAAAGTAAATAATTATTGAGCATGTTTTAATCCCCTAAACTAAGCAACTCCTCAAAATCCTAAATTTCGCATAGAAAATAGTTTCTAATAAATCATTGAAAGTTGATATCAAGCTCCAATATGTGCAGGTAATAGTTTTTCTCTTAGGTTTATCATTCGCTCTCTGTTTCTTGCCAGCCCTACTTAGTAATTGCCATTGTCTTGAGGCTTGTTCTTCATCGCCATTAACTTCCTCAGTACTTGCTCTTGTTTAATGTTTAAGCAGTAAAAAAGAGTAGAACAAAAAAAAGGGTTTCGGAAAATGACACTTTAGTTCACACTATAAAGACGGCATTATTTTTAGACGAAACAAACATGAACAGAGTGGATCCCTATATCCTATTTGAAATAACTTGGTGGAATTTTTATTCCACGGTGATAATTTCAAGGCAATACCATTCTCAAAAATTGCTCATCTTTCTATTATTGAGAAAAGCGTTATCTATCCCAATCACCATAAAACACCCAACTGAAATAAGATTACAGCAAGCAAATCAACATCCACCAATGAACATTAGCAACAAATACACCAAAACAAATTGTTTACGAAACAAAACAATAAGCCTGTAAAGGTAAGATCTTGAATTCAATTAACTTAACACTCAGGATAATCAACCAATTCAGAGAAATCAAAATTCAAGATTTTAAATAATTACATTTCCATCTACCCACAAAATAATAACTAAATCTGAAACAAAGCCATGCTCCAGTTGAGAAATGAGGATAAAGTGCAAAACCCATAATCAAGAACTCAAGAAAAAATAAAAATAGATGAACCCGATAAATTTTACGGAAAATAATGAAAAGAAAAGGTAGCTCACGGGGATCTTATGAAGCGGGACCTGAGACTTGAAGTAGATGTAATCGCCGGGCGCCGAAAAGACGCCTTTCATTGCTGATTTTGACACTGTCCACACCATAAACTCACACAAATGTCTTAAGAATAATTTATTGGCAATAATTGTTAATGTAATTTTCACAATGTTGAATTTTTAATTTTGATGATATATTTAATTTTTTTTTAGAATGTGTATTTGAGCTGTGATTAATGGGATTTGACGAGGTGAAGAATGAAGAGGAACAAGGTGGACGGTGGGACCCTAATCATGTTTTTAACAGTCAAATTAACCTACATTACAATGGCATCTTCAACTACATGTCAAAAAAAAAAGAGTTTTGATCCGTCTCTATTCTTTTGTGTTCTGGCTTAAAATAAAAATGTATAAAATCTTGAATTTTATGTTGTCTTTCGTTAAAATATGACGGGAAGAAAGCTCATTGCCAGCAAAGATTCTAGCAAAGCTAAAGATAAGAGTTAACACCATCAGCAATGCCAGCTACACATTAAATTCTAGAAGGATCGGCTGTGGGCTCCAAATCTGTTATGAGTGGAGCAATTATTTTTTGGTTGAAATCGATTGTACAGCTAGTGTAAAGTTTGTTAGAACTATTCTTTCTTTTCAATTATATAAGTGCACTACCAATTTGTATTATGAGATATAGTGAAATACAGAGAAAACCATTTCTTTTATTCCCTGTACAATTCATTCCTCTTGCTCGATTAATTTTCTTTTATGATATTAGAGCGTTCTATGGCTCAAGAGGATTCTACCAACGCAAATCAAAATCAAAAGAATTTTGACATGTATACTCACTCTTATAGCAAGTGCAAAGTGTAATTTAAATTTGCATCGATTCGAACTTCACCTTCATATAAGTAAAATGGTAAGTGCTTGTGCAAACTTTTGCAAAAACAAATTATATGGGTCTCTAGGCCCCCTATTACACGCTTAATTAAAATAAAGTGAAAATTACAATTACGCCCACTCAGAATTTTAAAATGTTCAATTCAAAAATCAGATTTAAAGAGTTTTTGTTCAAAAATCAGATGATAATTTATCTTTAATATTAATAATAATATTATAAAATTAAATTAATTAACATACACCCATCCACTCTACCTGACTTCCAAATCCTAAATTTCTCTCTCTATTCTCTACTTTATCTATCTCTCTTTAGCAACTGTTGGATACCATCGTAACGGATGAGTGCCCATCGATGCGGTGACAACTTAAGATCTCCACCAATCCACAGTGTCGCTGCTTCGAAGCGGCGATGCAACAGCTGTGGGCATAGGGGTATGGTGGCGCCATGCGATGCAATTGGTGGATTAGGGCTGTAGTGGATATGGTTTGAATGTAGGTAATGATGAATTTATAAGACGACGTATTAGGGCTACTATGGTTCTGGAGTTTGGAGTATGGTGGTGTTCTGGGTGGTGTGGTGGTGGTTTCACAGTTACTATGGTATCTGGTTGTGTTGAGGTTGCTATGGTGGTGGTGGTGGTGGTGGTTTTGCGTTGCTGTGGTGTGTGGTTGTTGTTGTGGTAGTGGTTTCGCAGGTTCTAGCGAGGTGATGGTGATGTTGGCAGTGGTCGTGGTGATGGTACGGTAGTGATGGGTAGGGATGAGATGTGATGGGGGTGTTTGTGACCAATAAATAATATGTGTCTAAAAATGTAATTGTGACTCACAATTTCTTAAGTCGTGATCAAGAAATTACTCGTGATCAATTAATTTATAATTTGCGAATGTTAAAAAAGTTGCGACTTATAAAATTTATGATTGATGAATAAATTGTGATCTATAAATTTTTTGATATGTGATCGATAAATAATTTGTGATCAATTAATTCTATAATTTGTGATCAAATTGTATACAATTGTGACCTTATTATATTTAATTAATAAAATATATTTTAAAAATAATATCAGGTGATAGACAATAAAATTTTGAACAAAAATATGCAAATTCTATTGGTTGAATAAGTCACCGTTCATAGATCGAATTGTAGAAGGAATCAATGAATTTAGTACATCAAAATGATTTTGAACAAGCAGGAAATCAATGAGAAAATTCTTAGTACTTCGCATGGGAAATTAGTTAAGATTAACCAAGACAAGAGTGAGATCCACAAAATTTAAATTTAAAATTATAAAAAATGCAAGATTTTGCTGGCAAGAAACTTCTTATGGAAAAGGGAGAAGGGGAAGATGAGTAGGTGAGCTTTCAGTATAGGGGGTGTTAGATAAAATAAAGAAAAAAAAGAGAGGTTGACGACATGACGTGGTGACACGTGTCTTCCTCAACAGTAGCATTTATTAAGCCTCATTTTGAGAGAAAAAAAATGCATTTTTGAATAGTAATTTTTTGGAGAATGTGTGATTAAAAATTAAGAATTTTTTTTTTGATTTACGTGTAATATTATTTTATTGGATAATGTATGATTGAAAATAAATTTTATAAAAAATATGGGACTCAAACAATTCAAAATATGAGGAATCACTTCTCTCTCTTGAACATACAACAAGCGAAGGAACCAAAAAGCATAATAAAACAATATTCTTTGTTACTCTTCTTCAAAACATCAAATATGACTCGTGAAAACATCATGCCTAAGAGAACTTAATTCCAATCGTTCTGTCACATGGATAATTCGCCTTGTACAAATGTTTCTTAAGTGATCAAAGACTAAGTCGATTCTTAAAACCTTTTGGACCATGCTATATGTACAAAATGTTTTACCTATTTTTTTACAAACTAGACACTTGGCGTCCTCCTGTTGGAGGGGCGCCTGCCACCTCCAACAGGGGCGCGTCAAGTGTCCAGTTTGTAAAACATTATGTAAAACATTTTGTACATTTAGATTTATCCAAACCTTTTATCATATTAGAACTTAGTTTTCTTGTTCAATGTAATTTCCAAGTGTATCTTGTTATTAGTAAGACAAAAGGATTAAATACAACAAGAAACTATTAAATACAACAAGAAACTATGTCTTTAAGGTAATATTTGCCACGTTAATATTAATACGTACCTTCATTGTACCACAAGCAATATTCAATCAGAATTTCTAAAATCACATTATAGAAATTCATATTTTAAAAATAAGAGAAGAAAATAATTCAACTTCTTTGGTTATAATCAATATTTATATTGTGTGTTATAGTTTACTAATTAATAGGGATGGGAACATGGATGGTATGAGACGAGTCGACAATTCCCACTCCTTCCCATCGGGTATTTTTGTTACTTTGCTCAATCCTCATACCCGTTTAAAGCAGGACATAGTGGAGCAGGTCCCCTGCCCCATTTATCGTCTCGTTTATTTTTTGTTTTTATTTATTTTATTTTATTTTATGTTTTTATTTAGTAAATATTATTACTTTTTTACCCAATTTGTTAGAAACAACTTATTTTCTTTTTAAAAATACGATAAATCTATTATTTTTGTTCGATAAAATACTTAAAATTTAAAATTAACTTTAAACGGGACGAGTAGTAGGATGGGGACTATGATTCTTGTACCTGACCCGTACCTGCTTCGGGACAATGACTCTCATCTCATCCCCACCCCGTTTACCCTATTAGGCGGTTAATCTCCATCCCGTTCGAGAGAGGACCCCAAGGGTTTCGGGTTGAACGTGTTTTTTTGTCACTCCTACTAATTAAAGAAACACAGCCACGGAAAATTTTAAAATTGAAAAAAAAAAAAAAAGATTATTTTTAGTTTTCTTCAGCACTATTTTTATAGGATTTGAACCTATAAATAATCGATAGCGATTGGCAGAAATTTTGGTGAGGATGGAGGAGAGGGTGAAATTGAAAGTTTTGTCCCGATTGATGTCGGTGGTCGTTTGTTTGGCCGCGGTATAAATCATATAAAGAGTGGGAGGGAAAAAAGGCCTACCATCTGGAATTTTAGTTCTTCATTGGATGGAAAAGTAGTAAATTTTGAGAGAAAATTGCGTATGAGCAAAAAAATAAATAATAATAATAAATTGAAAATTGAAATATTTTTTAGTAGAAGTAAGTATTCATCCTAATTATCTCTATCAAGAATCCGGATCTTAATATCATTTTGATGACAAAATTCAACTGGGAGTTGCATATTTACGAGTCACCAGAACTTTTGTTCACTTAATAGTATGACTAAGCCACTTTAACTGAAAAATTTGCCCACATACTTGACAGATACAGTGTTGGTAGTAGATGATTGAGTGTAAAAATTAACTGTTTTTTAACAGTCCAATGATAGAACATCACGTGAAATTATGTCAAGGAAGTGCAAAATTTTCTGACAATGTAGCATGATTGGACTCACTTATAGCACATTCGACTCACATAATTTTGTTATGACTATTTTGCCAAAATAGTATAAATAAATCCCCTCTTATCATTTTTGAGATGAGATACATTTTTCGTATATTATGCGTTTTCTCTTTACATATTACTAACTAAAGCAAGAATTGACTAGACCATCGCCCCTCGGGGCACATGTTGAAAAACAATGGAGAATACACCGAGAATTGAAGAATAAACAAACCAAAGTTGCAGCAATTAAACACGAACTCGAAGACAAGAAATCAAACTTGAAATATCCACCAAAAGACTTGATCACGATACCGTTGTCCTCAAACAATATTTGCCCCCTTTAGGATTGAAAAATGCTTGAAGGNCTAGTCCCGGTATATAGCCATGCGGCCGCATGGACCAATGAACCATAGGTAGTCTATTTTGACCTAAAGATAATTTTTGTATCTAACTTTAATTAGCATAAATTCTTAAAGGACGTGCCTGCAGCCGTCATTGACGCTTACGATTTGATTTTTATGGGTGGAAATTTAATATTTAATGCCCGTCCTTTGCCAACTCAGATGTGCTGTTGGAAATAAGTTGTTCAAAACTAATAAAATGATTATTGGAATTAAATGGGAAAAGAATTAAAAATATACATATATAATGAACCATGCGGCCGCATGGTTCATTGGTCCATGCGGCCGCATGGCTATATACCGGGACTAAATGTCCCGGTATATTTTATACCATGCGGC